GGTATATGAGAATCATAATAGTTGCAAACAGCTTAGATGGGCTGTTCATATTGAAATACTTTAGCACTTTTCTGCAATTGGAACTGCCCATCAAACTCATGTTGGAGACTTCATTGTGGTTTTCAATTCATATTTTCTCAACTATGAAGATCTTTTAAGGTTAACGAGGCATTAATAAATAAAGCTGAGGAATTTGTTTGTTCACTGTATGAAGAGGATATGAAGAATGTAAATGCTACCAGGGCACGTCTATTTAACACTGGCAAACATAAGGATTATACCCAACAATGATTCACTGAAGCATGTGGCCCTCAAATCAGTTCTTGAGTTGGCAAACTGCAAGTGTAAGAAAAAAAGTCAAAATAATTTATGCAAGTGTGCCTAAATCAACTTAAATTGCACAGATTTTTGTATTGACTGCAAAATCACAGTACACTTATAGAGGAAAAGTCGATTTTCAAGATGGTGGATTTCGAAAACAATTCAGAAGAAAGTGAATTAGATATTGCAGTTGATTTTTAATAAGTATCATTTATTTGTTTTTTTTTCGAACATTTGTTAGTGTCGTAGTCCTGTTTCTAGAAATAATATTGCCTTTGTTCAAATACATAACCACATAAACTAAAAAAAGACTAATTGTAATATTTCTGTTCACTATGTTATGTACATATTGTACAATTTTCTTGACTTTTCTGGTAAATTTCTAAGTGAGAAATAACTGATTTATTTGTGTTTTCGTGCTCACGATGTTAAGTTGTGACTTCATTGCTTAAAAATAAATACGTTTGATAGCTTATATAAAATGGATGTAGCTTTTTATGCTCTTCTTGTTTTAAACTGCTTGTGGTTATTACATAAAATTTATTCGCTAATGTGAATCAGCGTTGTTGGTGTCGCTGCTTTCGAGGTCACTCGCCACTCCTGTCACACAATTAAAGTATTTTTTGTTGTTGGTTACACGTATGCCATATTTTTCATAATCTACCTAATAAATTATGATTGACTGAGGAAGTCCGATTTTGGTCAGGCAAAACATTACAGGAATACATTTGTGTTAGTGTGCTGTAGGGCTCTCGAATTGCATAGTTCTTATGTATGTGTTGTGAACTTATGGTTATTGAATTTCCCGGAACCTCTTATATATTCAATTTCGCATCAGGATTGTGGAACAAGCTGTAATGCGTTCAGTACGTTCATTTTCACACTAAACTGAAGAATTTATTTAGTTACCAGATGTGCGCTACGAAACTCATTTTCTGGGCGTTTTCAAGGCTTCGTCTCACGGCCCATATCCGTTGTAAGGATCTACAAGTGTTTAATAACTTACTTATACATTTTCAACAACGTCTTAGCATAACTTAACTAATAATAACTAAACAGGGCGATGGAAAGGCTGCCCAGCTCAACGCAAGGTCGAGCGGTAATAACTAATATTCATCCGCTCGCTAACAGCTAATTCGATTTAATTGTTACGTCATGCAGAAGTCATTGTTCATTGTCGAAAATGTAGAGAATATAGGACAGATCGTAGCACAGATTTCTTGTAGTAAAAGCGTCTTTTCCGTAAAACGTGCAACTTTTGGAAGTGGGAACAAGGCAATATTTGTTACTACATTTTTGAGGAACATTTTAAAATCATTTTCAGGTAGTTACCTGATGTGCGCTACGAAACTCACTTTCTAGGCGTTTTTCATGGCCTCGGCTCGCGGCCTATATTGAAAGATAGGTTTTACAATATAGTTTATTCATTCAGTGTAGAAATAGAATAAAACAGATTATAAAAAACATATGATGAAGGAACAAGCAAGTAAATCCAAGAAAACTACTACAAATTATACAGTTTTCCAGATATTGTGTTGTATAGGATAAAAATACACACCAGATTTATGCTTTTAGGCACAACAATGGAACGTCAAAATAATAGAATTAAATTCATTTCACAATTCCATTGACAGACATAATGTAACACAATGATTTTACTGCTGAGTTATTTTATTAAAGCTGTCTGGTTTTATCTCCTGATAATATGGAAGAATTGCGCTCGCTGAGCACTAACATTGCCTCATTGTTATATAGTCAGATGGGCAAACACCCACCACTTTGTTCGGTTCTAAAGTTATCAGATGATTATGAACAAGTTGCAATTTATATGACAGTGATAATGATAAATGCAAAATAAGTATATATCACACACCACAGTTACTACAAAGTGCAGGGCCAACTTCTGGTATCAGGAGCAGCTTGGTGTGACTTTGCAGTCCGCACAAAAAATGATATTATGATCACCAGGGTCACACCGGACATGGCATGCATGCGGAGCATACTCCATAAAGTAACATCATTTTATCACCAATGGATTGTAAAATATTCTGCATGAAGTCCCAAGTCTTCAATATTAATTTTCCTTCTTTATTCATCATTTTTACAGTTAGCAAACATGACACCAATGCTGGAAGAAGTATGTGTTTTCTCATTTTGAATTACGTTAAAAGTGTTGCCCGATTCTGAATCTTGTTAATTGTTTCGTGCCCTTTTATTATTATTATTTCTTTTTCTGGTGGGTAGCCGCGTACTTTTTGAAATCTATTTTAAGTTATGCTCGACTTCCAGTCTCTGCATTTTGTTTGTATGTTGGCTTTTTGTGTTGTTATATGCCAGAGAACCAAAATAAAATGATGATGATGCTTGCTTACATTTTTCTGCTGTCTAACAAAGCGCTGTCATTTTCATCAGCGGCACTTGAGGTAGTTTCAACTAAAGAGTCTGGGGGCAGGTCTGGTTAGATCCTTAACAATCCTTTCTCACTTTCGTCAGATTCCCATGTCTCTGTATCAAATGAGGTATCTGGTGATAGATCCTGTTAAGTTATGATCCAAAGTTAAATTATGGTATAAGTAATCCATACTTCACAATTTGATGGTGCTCTTTTGTTGGGCGACAAGAATCTGATATAGGGTCAGGGTATTCATCAGTTGGTTAATCGCCTCCATGAAAATGCATGATGGAACGCATTGCTTGTATAAAAATTCATTTCATATAAGAATTAACATATCGAATATATATCATAGGTAATTTTTCTTAGGTTGAATTGACTGTGAGGCCTGTTGCATTCCTTTATCCACCTCATTGCTTTTTGGCGATCAATATGTGGCTTCGGAAAAGGCACAAATCTTACTCCATTTGAACGGCAGGGGTACCGTACAGGTTGTCAGACTGGCAAATACCATATGCGCAGCGTTTACACATACTGTATTTAGTCTACCAAAATAATTCACTAATAGATTCTGTTTAATAAAAATGCAACATCGTATTGAAGGCGAATTCTTCCGTACTGACATACGGTAGGCTACCGGTACTCACGGTCTTCTGCCAGACTGCCGTCTGGGTCGGACGTGTTTTTGTTGCTCTGTTAGATGAAAGATCACACAATGCTGTTGGACTGAGAATGCTACGCGCTGTGTGTTTCGGTATTTACTATTAGATTTGTATCTCGTGATATCAACATGATCAAGGCCCATCCACCGGAATTAAAGAAGTTTATGAATAAAAGATTGGATTTAAAGTTTGTGTTTGGCAGTCGTCGGGTGCGGTCGCATTTTTGAACGGCGCAGAAAGATTAGATTGACAACAATGAACCAGCACTTAAGGAATATCAACAAGTAAAGGCCGAAATATGAAATTACATGGCAGCATAAAGACAACATACGGACATCATAACAGAATCGAAAGATGAATACAACAGGGATTGATTCAGATATTTTATTTTGTGACAAAGAGTATGATATACTGCTATTTCTAGAAATTCCGCTTGAATACTGAGTATTCAACTATATATGTGTAAATAGTTTGCAGTGTAACTTACAGTGTAACATTTTTAAACATTCATTTAGTGGCATATTTTTGATTTGTTCTCTCTGTGTGTATACCGGTACTGTTTTAACAATGTTGGCCACGTCAATGTATCAATTAGGCTACAGACCTGCTCACGTGTGATTAGTGTTTTTCCTAATAATTGCTTTTATGAGTGTCCGCACACCGAATTTGCCGCCGTGGTTTTGCGTTTGTTTGTATATGAAACCACTTATCACCTTTTCCGCAATGCCCAATCTAGCAATCAGTGTAGTTTTTCGTGGCTTGGTTTTTCCCAAAGCTTTCATGGCTTCATGAGTATGACTATCGTCGCAAATTTATTACATTCCACTCCCCACATTATCTTTGCATGAGGTTGTAGGTATTGGTCATTATCAACGTAATTGTTGAAAGAGAGTACAACAGCCCGAAAGTTTATTACTATCGTGTATTTTGTTTTTCAAGTTTGGCCCAAGCTTCATTTAATTGGGCTTGTGTTTTTGTGTGCGTGCTGGTGGGCAGGCACATGAGATACTTCATGTTTTAAACTTTTTTGCAGGTTTTGCTTGCCCTCCAGAATTCTCCATTTTAAATTTAGGTTTGTTATGGAGTTTTCGAAATAAACTAACTATCTATCTATCTTGATTGCATCAGCATGACTGTCTACTATTTTTTGGTTCGAAATAGCAGTTGGTTGACCTGTACGGTACCGCACGGTACGGTACCGTACCTGTCAGGTGCATGCAACAGGTACAGCCTTTTAGTACAGATATACAGATTTTGGAAACGTGATTTGCAACAAGTAACATACAAATTACAGCTTTCTAATTATCGCAGCTCTGTGAAGAAAACAAAAAGCGAAAAAAAAGAACAAAGATCTGCCTAAACCGCCACCAACCTGTGCGGAACGCGTCTAAAGTTGTCTGAGCGACTTTTCAGCGGAGAATGTTTGTTTACATCTGCTCGCTTGTGATTGGTTGAGAATACGGATGTTTTGATGTCGGGGAAAGGTCCATTCAATGTTCAATTACGATGGCTTATTCTTCATTTTTAAAACTTTGCAACAGGTTTTCGACTCCATCAATCCGATCCTTCTAAATTAGCATTGTTTTAGGATCATTGTCACCTACAGACGGGGATTTCCCGATAGTTTGTTATCGTTTACATATGTTCATGTTTCGCAAGGATTGTTCCTTACCAATAGCCAGAATATTCGAAAATATATTCTCTGAAAGTATTGTTCCGGTTCAGGAAAGTACCTCCAGTCACAACTCCAGTGACTGTTCAAAGCTGAGAGTTCTGCTTACCATACCGTTTTGAGATAGAAAAACTACCGTAGGTTACGGTATCTGGTCAATTTGGCAAGTCTGTTTAGAGTTAATCGAAGAAAACAATAGGAAACATGAGTGATTCTCGGGAAAATACATATTTTAAAGATTGTTTTGCTGAATTTAATGAGTAAGTTGTTTTTATATCTATTTGTTAGCCTACCAGTACAGTCAGCAACATACCGTAAAAGTGCCTATCTTCGGACAAAGTTCTGTATTTTCATCAATAACTCGATCATTTATCGTCCAAACGGTGCCCAAATTTGCTCGGTAAAACATTGATGCGGTACTTGACATTCACTGCAAGTTAATCTAATGCCAACCGTTTGCATTTGCAATGATACATTTTAACCGGCTTGTACCGTAAGTCATTGACACAGTGCAGCGGGGCCCCAAGCGGTTAGAATTTAGAAATTTAAGCCCCGAAACCAAAAGCTGCATTGCAAAACCAGTAATGCGCATCTTATAATGTCGATGTTAATTCTTGCTCAGATCGTTTTGTTACGTAACAATACCTGGAAGTCGTAGATTTTCGGCTTCGTGTGGTTTGATCGCACCGGCACAATTACGAAGGCTGTCAGAATGATGTCGAAAGCAAAACCTCTCAGTGGCACACTGAAACGCAGAAAAAGGACAGAAGAGGAAGAAAGTATGAAAAAATTAAAATAACCAAGATAACGAAATATTTAAACCAAAATTAAATGAGTTTGCTAACGCGCAAGCGCAAATTTTAGGTTACCATTGCCTTTTTATACCGAAATGTTATGCTTTATGACAAAATAAAAAAAACGTTGTCTTAGCTTATGTCCGAGAATGGGTGTGAGATTGTATACCGATATTGTTTTGAGCATGATTCAGTCTGAATACTGAGATATCTAAATCAGGGTTTCCCAAACTGGGGGAGCGAGGGGTCGAGCGACGAATTTTAGAGGTCGCAAAGGGCACACCAATTTCACACAAAGTTCGATATTTATTGAAACTAGTGCAAAACATATTGCAATAATAATGCAAAAAATAAAACGATTTCGAAAATGATCGGAGTAGGGGCTCGCCTGCATACCGATGCCGGCTTCGATTGTTAGACCCGAGAAGTGGCGTGTTTCCAAATCACCCGCGGGCCGCACAGAAGTATCTAGCGTATGTTGTGCAGGCCTGGTGTACAAGTAACAGCGCTAGCCATAAAAATAAAAACTGGCAAAATATCACGCTTTCTAGCCGAGATATGGCCAGTAAAAGTAGGCACTTTTACGTTATCATACTGCATTTTCCTACCTGTCTGCTGACGTTTGTTTATTCACATTTACCAAGAAATTACTGTTTTTCTAATTATTTGTTGCATTCATCACTTTCGAGTCACCACAACTACAGTACTATAACCTGTCTAATATCAGTGCTACACAGTTTTCCGATTCCAAGAATAGCCCAATTATAACAGTGAGTGCAAACGAGACAGTCTAGCCTTCATACCAGCACAAATTTTCAAAATGGCACTACCTAATAAATTTGAAAGAAGAGTACCGGTAATTTAAAAACAATACCATTGGATTTCTCGGAAAAAAAAATAATACACTTTACAGTATGAAAAAAATTTCACTGTAGCATTCAAGAGTTCCCAGCGATGCGGCTGTCGCATGTCTCGATTGATTTAGATATTGTCGAGACAAGCAAGGCCTGATCGGACTCATCTGCTGCAATGCCTTATTTTAGAGACACATATTAGTATAGCAATATTCTATTAGAAGAAGGTTATGCACACTTGCTGGCTTAGAAGTAGAAAGACTCTTCCTGGATAAATATGAATTTTCAATTTTTATCGTTTTTTAAAATGGTTTCAATTTAAGATGAGATTGATTTAGGCCCATTTTGAATCTTAAAATATAAACTATTTCAAGAAAGGAATTCAGAAAACCAAACTATTCGTATATTGACATTCGTAGCATCAGTGTCAGGTCTGCTTTAATTCCAATCTTATTTTAGTTTTTTCCTATTTCTGCATATCTGTGAATCATTGGGGCATGACTAGTCAGAATTGTCATCTTTAACGAAACTTGTCAAAGCTGCTATTTTGTACATTTTACTTGTAATAAAAAGTAGGTACTGACTGTTAGAAATTAATGGCTGCTTGTAGGCCTATATGGTGTGTTGCAAAGGTGGATAAGCATCATATATATAAAAAAAATCCAAGCTATGATACGCTGAAGTCTCAGTAGTTCTTAGCACTTCAGTGATTGCCTGTAACTTTGCTCAGATATCGGTTGGTCTCCTTTATTTCTGGTTGAAAGTGTGTGACTTTACTTTTAAAACAATTCCTTTTGAAAACTAAAAACTAATTGAGTGGCAATACTAAGATAAAGTCATAGTGAAGATTGTTTTTATGCTGAACAATGCAGTGTTCCCATATGTTATCATATCAAATAAAAGTGTATATTCCAGGAATCATTTTGGTGAATATACCATACAAATTGAAGATTGGATTCATATTAATACTAATAATTGGAAAGTACTGTCTAACTATAATATATAAATAATATAAAAGTAATATCCAGTCATTTAATAAGGGAACACTCTTTTCAGGTTTTTTTTATACTTTGTCACTAATCTTAAAATTAGGTCATTGTCCAAGTAAACTGCAGGTTTCAAGGTAGGGTTGTCATATTCATGTCAAGTAGAGGAAATTCGACAAGATGGCATACATATTTAATATTTTTATAAGTTGTTCTCACGATGTCCCTCCCTCTCAATAAGGCTGTAGTGGTGTGGCAGTGCTAAGCGTTAGTAATACTGCATCTATGACTATCCTGCAGGGTGAGAGGATTGGTGGACTCCTCGCTGCCGTAGGTACAAGGTCTATGTATCTGAAAATAAATACCTGGGTAACAAATCCCACACTCAATATGGATTGGTAACCGAACGCAGGCCAGGATTCACAGGTCCTTTTCATAAGTTTTTCTCACAATCCCACTCTGAATAAGGCTGTAAGGGAGCATCCAGTAATATGTTCCTAGTATGATTCCTAATTCAAAGTTGATTCACAGCTATCCAAATCTTGATTCAAATTCGAGTCTGAATGCAAAGTCGAGCCGCGGCAATCTTAATCTCAATTCAATTTTGAGTCTGAGTGCTGAGTTTAAGATTAGAAATAGATACCTTTAGAATGTTTCAAAAATAATGTGAAGACAGATAAAGTGATAGTGAATATTGTATTCATGTGGAAAAATTCAGTCTTCCTATTCTCTAAATTATCATAATATTATTTGTATAGGCTATATATATTTTCTCAGGTGTTCCAAAATATGTGTACCAATATGGAGGTAACTAATTTTTTTTGCCTACTTTACATCAAGTTTTGTGAAGGGACGGAAGCCTATGCGCAGGGGGTATATTCTCTTGGCTAACACAGACAGTCCCAGAGCTTGTAATAGAACTAAAATAATTGATGTCCGAATAAAATTATGGCCTAACCCTAACCCGGTACACATACTGCGGGAGTACCGTTTTCTCCTATAAGCTACTGTGATGGATATATATCACAAATTATTACTAAAATTTGCTTTGTAACAAATAAATTTTTAACGGCACCTTCAGTTTAAATTGTATAGCACATCTAGTTATTGAAATTTGGAACACTATTATGAGAATAGGTTTCATGAATTTGAAAATTTCTGTTTAATTTCAATACTTAGTCCCTGATTTTTAATTTTCAATTTTATTATTTGATTGAAGTCCCTCGACCCGGGGTTACAAGTCAAGCGTGGGTCATCCGAGTCTTAAGTCAGGTTTGAGACTGAACTCGAGTCGAATCACTTGGATAAGTCCACCTGGCAGTTAGCTTAGTGTGAATACAATTCATCCTATAATTTCACCGATAAAATTATATATTATTTCTGTAAATTTTGGTATTCCAGTGACTGCTATTAACTTAACTAAAAGACAATAAAATATACCGGTACTCATAATGCCGCAAACAAAATATCAGTTTCGTCATGTTTCAAATCACCTTAACCGTATATATACTTTCATTGCTTTGGGTTCTCTAGGTGGTATTTTGGAGGAATTTTAGAAATTTTTTGATTCATATTTTTCAATAAACTATTGACTGGCACAGTATAATTGGATGAAGTAGTATTTTTGAAGAAACAATATTTCGATTTTTTAAATCGCTGAGAATTGTTTATTATTGATGAATGGTCTCTTGCCTGGAAATCTCTTTCTGAATAAGGCCACAAAGAAGCAGTCCTAAGTGTTCAGTGTTCCCATGTTTAAATTACCTTGCTTGCATATAATATACTTTGCTTTCTACAGAAACTATTCTAATGAGAAATACCATGAGAAACTTTGTTTAGTGTAGTTTACCAAATAATAACTATTGAATGGTAAAGTTTATAGAGATTGTGTAGTCAGAAAATATTGTTAGAAAGGGGAACGCCATTCTTGAAAAAATGTGTTAAATTATAGTCTCTGAAAACCATTTTGTATAAGGGCCATTCCAAGCAAAAGTTGAATTCCATCAATTTTTTAAAAAGTGTAGTGAAAGTAATTTTTTTTTATTTTTGATATCAAAAGACATTGGAATTTTATTGGACTGCATTCATTTCATCGAACCCTCTTAAAATTTCACCCAGGTTTTTGATGGTTTATAAAAAATGGCCTGAAATGTAGAAATTTTGGTATAATTGACATATTTTGTGTTGATTCCTGACACAAAGTGTTCGATTGTGTGGTACAGTTATTTCATATAGAATTGACGCACTGGATTTAAGTAAATAAAGTTTGAATGTTTGCAGTGCTGTAGAACATTTCTTCACCCATGTAACGATTTATTACCAGAATTTTAAGAGATGATAGATGCCGCTATTCCGAAGTGGAAAAATGTCCTTCAGTGTCACGTCCTGTAGTGTCACATACAATGTGCACATTATTGGCATGGATTTACAGTGTTACATTAAGTAACTTGAGCAACACATAGAGGGGTAGTTCAGCTACTGCACCAGAAAATATTATGGGCTCCTACTGTACCATCGCAAAAATTTACAGCACAACACAACGTACTGTTACTGCATGGTGGATTTGCCGTCCTGTAGTGTCACGCTATATTTTACTAAAATTTTTTCATCTACTAAGTAAGGTTGGATGTAACTTTTGTGCAATTTTTTACATATTCAATAAAGCAACTGATTGGACAATGAAACATGTAGCTGAAAATGTGAAAATATATTGAATTTAACAACATGCAAAATTTCTGGAATTGTCCTGTAGTGTCACTTGGAATAGCCCATAAGTATACATGCGGTCTTCGATATATATTGAATTGAATATCATTTCTGTGGATTTTATTACAGGTTGGGGTTGGATGCAGACATGTTGCTAATTATGGCTATATGTTAGAGTTTGACCATAAAAACATAAAACAATTGCCTTAAAAAGATACTGATGTACCGGTAATATACACATAGAAAAAATTTCAAATGAAAAATATACAATCCCTCATACAGAAAATCAAACATTTTGTAGACAGGTTTTGCAAGACGTGGTGGTATTATGCTCGAAAAAAAATATTGTAAACTGTTTATAAAACATATCTTTATCCTTGACTTGAAAACAACTCCTTTTCGATAATCCATGTTGTTGGATACGGTACATTGATATCTGTGAAATCGTATTTCTTATTTGTTCCATATCCATGCCTTTTGCCCTAAACAAAGCCCTCAGAAGCATCCACTGATATCAGAAATTATGACTATCGATTTTAAAAAGGACTGGAACCTTCATGACTGGGCTTTGCCTAGTAGATTATTTATTGTGGTCGCCTGTAACTTTTCCTAGAGGTAGGAACCCTTTACTTGTGAGTGAGCGACCTTGCCCTGAGTTGATTTTTAATCTTTTCTATAAGACTGATGTATGGAAATTAGTTACCCGTTGCAGTTTGCCAGGTTATATTACAGCTAGCTTCCTATAGCCAGCTGTTTTATTTTTTCATGTCCAATAAAACTAGAATATCAAACTCACAGTACTATCCAGATTCCAGATGTAGTTACTTTTAGGAAATGTCTGTCCTGATATAATTAATTTAAAATGTTACATTCATGCCAGGCTCGGCGATGTGGTGCATATGGATAAATATTTTTATTGAAATGTGCTTGCCACCGCATTTCTAATTACTAAGGCTGTCCAAATATTCGAAATTGAATTCCAAATTACCTTATTCGAAGCGTTTTCGGCCAATTTATGAATCGTTAAAATTTGGTACAAAATGCGCCTCACGGCCACCTTTGAATGGCGTTTTGCACTAGGCGAGCAAAAACTTGTTTCTATCGCTTTATTTGCTGTAGAAAGGTCTCTCTTATTGCCCGGTGACATGTAATTATCCATTTCATGCATGGTCATAAATGAAAAGTTATGGGGACAAAGATTTAAAGATGATGTTTTTTGAGAGAACACAAGGAGAAACAGGCAAATTCAGTATCAGCAAAATCGCCAGTTCTATAAATAGAATCGATTTGTAGCTGTTGAGTCAGTAATCATAGGAACATGGTACAGGACTGAAACACTTTTTGAAGGTCCAATACTCTTTTTCAATAGAATTTGTAATTTCTTCTAATGGCAATACTTTGTATCACCTATTTATTACTATGACAAATAATTGCACTCTTGCGAGTGGATGGCTGTTGTACAGCAAAATTATGGTCATCAACTAATAATGTCATCGAACTAGCTCTGAATTTGTGAGTTAACAAAATGCAATTTTAAATTTTTTGGGCAACAGTTATATCTATAAAAATAGTTGTTTATCATTTTACTGAAAATCACATAAAAAATATTGAGTTAATAATACTAATAATAATAGGATTAGAATAGCAACTACAGGCATGAAAAGAGTCTGTGCATTGTGCAATTTCCAACTCTTAACACTTGATAGTTACCCTAATTTTTTGACCAGTTCAAGGAGGCTTGTGATCTCCTTTTATAACTCTGGAAACAGCAAACTCTGTTATGCAAAATATTTGCAATAATTTAGATATAACTGCACATACGTTATCACTATATTGAAAAGAAAGTTTTATTGTACATTAGAGACAAATTTAGGATTGTGCAATAATATTCGATTATTCGGTTCGATTCGAGAAAAATATTCGGTGCGATTCGAATCAAAAAAAGATTCGATTTTAGACAGCCCTACTAATTAGCCTGCATGGGTTCGCAAGTCTATTTCAAGGCAGGGATAGTTATGTGCGAGAGGATTGCTGGGCTCTTCGCCGCCATAAGGTGGTTGGCGTAATCGCTGGTCAGTTACGGCTGTAATATTCAAGGGCTTGATTCCAAGTAACACAGGCTTCAATTGCTCACAGAATATATATTAAATGAAAGTAAATAGAAATACAACATACGTTGTATTGCAACAGATTCGTTTTAGAATGTACTATGACATGGCCCAAACTAGATCACTAGATGTCCTGATATTATTACGTTATAGACCAAATATAAGACATAGAATATAGCATTATTTCATGGACAATACAACGGCTTCCTCCACCATGAAGTCCATGCTTCTAAAAACAAATGGTTGGCTAACTATTCGCATACCCAACATGGACTAGTAACCGAATGAGAGACCATGGTTCCCATATGATTGAGCCGTTTTATCGGTTTTCCTCTCCCTGGAATAATTTTGTAAACCCTAACTATGTAAATCCTATCCTATATTAGTAGGATGGCAGTGATTTGCGATTTCAATGAGATATTTTCAACCTGAAATATCGATAATATTCTCAATTCTGTAATACTTGACATTGCAGTTCATGGTTTGTTTGTCTGTTTATCAGTCTAGGTCATTGTTTCGCAACCTATGAGTCGAGTCGTGTTGACACAATGGTTGTAGAAGCATAGTCAAACCTCATACTGAAAATTGTGATGATACTTAAATGAAATATATTTTTATTTCAGGTACAGAAAAGCTGGTCTATATTGTGATTTTACGATCAAAGTTGGTTCAGAAAAATTCCGAGTGCATAAGATTATTTTGTCTACTGCAACTGATTATTTTAAATTAATGTTCCGCCATGAGGTTAGTATATTTATAATATCTAACATTTAAATATAGTATTGTATGTATGTAAATTTTATTGGGTATTTTATATTAGGTATTGTGGTGTGTGGGTCTGCGTTAAAACATTTATTTTGCTTAGTAGAGCCACTCCTCAATTCGAAAAAACTATCGCAGTTTTCTCACTTTGAAGTAATTTGTGGGGAAGAAAAGTTATATAAAATGGATTGTATAATATTACTCACTTAAGTTTGGTCGTAAAAGTACTACACATTCAGTATTTAAGCATATATCCTTGAGTCGCGACATTTTACAAAATCAATTTTAATTTAGATCGCTTGAAAATTTTTTTAGAACCAATGGTGTAATAGACAGGCCAACTGAAAAGAATTTAGTCGTCCTGACTCCCGATAGTATGTTGGCTGCTTATTAGCCATTAGTGGCTGCTTATACTGCTTTTTTGCAGCTGAATGCGTGGAATATGAGTCATAAAAATTGAAAGCTAAGTTGTAAAAAATACCAAACAAATTTTTATCGAAGATTTCTCTAAAATTAAATGGGTTTGCAGGTTCAAATCCCATGTGAAGATAACCATGTGCGGGAGATTGCTGGACTCCCCACCACCGCAGGGTGGTTCACATAACCTATGGTCGATTACGGCTTTCTCCATTATCAAGTCTATGCTTTCGAAAACAAATAACTAATCACATATCCGACATGGAATGTTAACCGGACGAGAGACCATGGTTCACCATAGGGTTAAGCCATCTTAACGACTTCCCTCTCTCCCAGATAAACATGAAATCTTATCCTATACTAGGTTAAGATGGTAGATTTGGATTCACCATGGAGTAAGCAGGGCTTGAACTCAACAGCAGGGCTTACTACAACTCAATATAATAAGGCCAACACACAATCTGCCTTGGAAAAAGAAACTTTTCCAAGGTTCCCGTAGACATGGATAGTGCAATATGGGGTTTCAATAAAATTGTGCACAATTGCTTAGTGCAATGATAGTTGATATATGAGACAAATCTTGACAGTGTTATGTATTTACTTAAAACTGCAATTTCTGTCAAAATTATTTTTCAGACTGTTGAGACTCTGTCAGGAGAAGTTGATATCCATGGATTCAGTGCGGATACTATTGAGAAAGTTATCGAGTATATCTATACTTCCAAATTCCCTATTGATGAGACATCTGATATCGCATCATATATGCAGGCTTCACATTTCTTACAACTCACAAGTGGGTTTATTTTTCCTTGAAACTCCTTAATTTAAACCAATAGATAAGAAAGTCTTTCCATATAACGCGACATGACATTCAATGATAAAAAATAAGGTCGTGGAGTCGAGAAAGAATTACACTCAATTCCAAACTCTAAACCAGGGTGGTCCAAACCCAGGCCCGCGGGCCGCATGTGGCCCGGCACTTCATTATCTATGGCCCGCGTCGCATTCGGAGAGGAATCAAAAAATCGCATTTCGTGTTGTTTCGTCATAAAATTAACCAAAAAATCTTTTGACATATTGTTGCATCACTAATGTCACTGTTTTGACTATTGTTATGGCTTGTTGAGGCAACTAGCGAAGTTAAACGAGCGAAGTTCTTGGCACTATTGTGGCCCGCGAATAATGCAAAAGTAATTTTGTGGCCCGCGGAGCTGCCAATCTTGGACCACCCTGCTCTAAACCATTCATGAGACGATTCCGGTTCTAACTTTTGAAATCAGGTATTGTCAAAATTTTTGACTTTGACTTTGGCTACGAAATCCAGGTTGTAAAAATATTTGGACTATTTGTCAGGTTCCAACTCTTAAAAGTAAATTTTGACCACAAACAAGTTGGCGTATGCAAGCCTCCTTAAATTGTCTGTTGCGAATACTTAGGCAACTTAATGCTTTTTGAACTACTGTCCGAAACTTTTGAGTATCACCTTCAGAGGTAATATTAAAACTTCAACTTCTGGCTGAAGAGAATTGACAATTTAGACTCTGGAAAGTTTATAAATACGAATCCGACTCTATATTAATAAAACATATTGATCAAACCAAATCGACTTATATGACTTTTTACTTGAAAATGGAAGAAAGCACAAAAACATATAGCTCATTTAATAAAGCTTGATAATCTACTAGATTTTCATGGTCAAGTTGTTAGAGCCATGTCGGGTTAAACAAGAGTGAAACTTAACACTGGATATCTCATTTCTTATATTTTGTATTTTTCAATAATATAAATTATATTTTAATAAAAATCTTTTTCAGAATTATGTGGTATTGTCACTGAATACCTGGAACATAATTTGGGTCCCAAATCTTACTTCATCACCATAAATATCTCGAAGTTGTACGATCTGAAACAACTCGAAGAGAAATGTGATAAAATTGCTTCCAACAGCTTCACAAAAATTGCAGTACTGGATGAATTCAAGGAAATAGATGAAAAACGGTTGATGGGAATGATCAAGGCCAGGGAAAACACGGTTAGTCAGACTTCATAAGAAGTTTTTGAGTCACTCTTATTATTTTAGATGAGTAGCACTGGAATATCAATGAAATGTATTCTCCAAATAAATACTCGCTTGTATGGCCCGTAAATGTTGGTGCATACTTTTCAATTCGTAAACATTCGAAATTCATCAAAATGTTTTACCATAACGTATTTAAATGAGGCCCAACTTGGTGTCAAAATAAATTTTATAAATTGTTCTTTCACTATACATAAAGCCAATGGGGGGATTCAGCTGGTTCGCACTGGTTCCATAGAACCGTCTCATGGAATTTCATGAGTTCAGCGAATCGGGTAGGAGTACTGGTTACTCTCAATGTCTTTTTGTAACAGAAACGGGTGAAAAAATATGACTTTTGTTTTGAAAACCGGCTGACAAAAAAATTGAATCCCACCACTGCATAAAGCTCATTTCTACGAGCAACTGGTACATCAGAATCTACTATTCAAGGACTGGCAACTTACCCGGTTCCTCAATACCTGACCAATTTATTTCACTTTGGCAAAGTGATGAGACTTGATATTATACAGCTATTATTCATTTTAGGCAACTGAAGATGAAAAATGCTTGGCTTTGATAAATTGGACAAAATTTGATGAGAAGAATCGTTCAAAGCGGTTTGTCAAATCTTTCAAGCAATTTGATTTGACTAAGATGTCGCTCACATTTCGCAGAAATCTCCTGGAGAAAGATGTAAGATACTTATTTACTGTCAGTGTACTTACCCGACCAAAAGTATTATGCCCAACGTTTATTTTTCAAGAACTTGGGAATTCTAAGATTCAGTGTAAAAAAATTCATAATTTATCCCAATTTAACAGCACATGGTAAAAATTAACATCTCATTTTTATTCTACTGCAAACTGGGACTGATGCATGATCGCGACAGTGATTTAATATTATTTCAAACTAACATAAATAATTTATGAGTGTAAATTTATATCAAACTATATATAGCACATGGTAGGTAAATGCTGAATCGTTATATTTTTCAGAGCCTGATTGCTGCAAATCCTGAAACTTTACGAATTGTAGCATTGTCAATAATTGATGACAAGGCTCCTACATCGAGCATTTCTGCATCAGGTTCTTCTGCATCAAGTTCAGAAGGTGATCCAGCCCAATATTCATTTACTAAATGAACCTCAAATATTTATGTTGTTACTTTATATTAAGTTTAAGCAACCACGGATACATGGGGAGATACTGTGTTTGAAACCATCTTCCAGTTTCGCATCCCATACCCAAGTTATTATACATAGGGTTTAAACCATGAATCTTTAGTCTACACCTACAGAGGCGCAAAACTCTAACGACTCCACCATCGCACCAGATATTCAACTATTTTATTAAGTATTGCCTGCAGGCTAGCATCCATATCAGTAATCAGTAGTTTATTTCTCACCATACTTAAAATAGGCACAAACATACAAATTGCAATACATTAAATTATAAATAGGCCATATTTTAGAGTGAAGGAGACGCGAGAAACCAATACTGGTTATCGAGCATCACCTATAAAATAAGTCTAACACTATAATATAAAGAAGAAAAAGTTGAACTAAGTTTAAATAAATTGAGAAAAAAATACATAAAATATCTCGAGACGATCTGCTGTAACCAGCAGTCGCTCGCTTCAACCAAAGTGACTATGATAGTCACTTAGGCTTCAACAAAAGGAAAGACCACTCCAAACACCACCCATTCGGTAGCCATGGAGATGGCGTTAGTGGGTTGTGTCACAACAATACCATTGTGATGCGCATTCTCTAACAATGGGCAATAAATGTCAAATTCTGGTGTCGCATGGTTACAGTTGAACCCATGGTTTGCTGATGGCAACAACAGGATCACCATCGAATAACCATACCTTTACGCTAGAAATGAATTGAGGTACCTGTTAATGGGATCTAGTGATTGGAAGCTGGAGTCAGGCCTTCACATAACGTTACAGGAAATATAAAATCAGGGAAGACATGAAATGTCAAAATACGGAAGATGTTCCAGAACAGTCATTCGAAACGAATGTAACTTAGTATCAAAAGACATTCACAGTGGGTAACTAGATAGACTACAAGACATGAGAAGCAAAAGTAGTCTAATAGTTAAGTGAACCAATGAAGCAAAGTTTAAAAGTACATAAAAAATATTATTTATCGGGTAATACTTTTACAATGTTTATACAAAGTATAATGATAATCAAATAAGCAGTTTAGGCTTTACTGCCTGCAAGAGAAAACAAGTCACAATGTTAGCTATTAAACCAAGATCTTGAGTAGGTGGGCTTAGAATTTCAATGTGGTTCAATTCGTACAAAGCTTCATGAACCATTTCAAACATAAGAAAAGTAGTTTACATAGTTTGAATTCAGACTCAGGATATGAGTTTATACAACCCCACATCTACACTGTTCTGTGAGAATTAACTATAATCTCAAAGTAGACCTGGGGCCAGAATTTTATGTTTCCTTGTTTTCGTTGTAATTGGTACTGGACTAGGGTACATTTATTAGTTAAAATGCAAACCAATCACTGAAACTGTTCGTTATAAAAGTGAAATTATCGGTTAATTGTATATGAAAAGTGATGTCGTGGCCACACATTCTGTAACACAGCCTTATTGGCTGCAGACAAAAATACATGTACTAGGTATAAAGAAAAATAAAATTGTTGAATTGAAATTCTCAGTAACTGATTAGTAATCTTTATACATATACATACGTACGTGGCTTCATACATATCTAATACAGCAGGGGTATTACGGCCCGTGAGCTGAATCCGACCCACAGTGGTGTTTCATTCAGCCTACTTGTGCGTGCTGAAATTAGACTATAGTTTTACAAATATAAATAAATATATACCGTACCGTAAAATAAACAAATACCGTAATTACAAATACTGTGTGTTATTCGCATCTGAATTCAATGTATGAAACGAGCCATCTATATTTCAAATTCATCAATCCGAATTATTATTTAGAAGTATAAAGATTAAAAAAAGCAAATGCAGATTTTTTGGATGCTTGCAGTGGCCACACCAATCCTATTAGTCATTGCGTCCTTGTTGCACTAGATCAGTGATTCTCAAATAGTAGGTCGCTACCTGCAATTGGAAGCATTTCCTCGACTCGATCTGATAATATCCAATAGAATGGGCAATCTTAATTTTTGCATCAATAGTAAATTGCGTGTGGATACCTTGTCTCTTCTCATATTTTAACACCTCATCATGAGTCGCGCAGGGAAAATGACAATAAAAATGAGTCGCGAACTGAAAAGAGTGCACTGCAATGAATTGTTGTTCATTAGCTGTTTCGCTATTTTATTTACAAATAAATCGTTTTTATTCATAGTTCCACATTAAACCTCCGGCCCACTAAGCAAGTCCATTATCTAGAAGCAGCCAACTCAGCAAAGTTATTGCCCACGCCTGTAATACAGCTTTGTTCCCTATTCCAGATGACGCGTTGGTCGTTTTTGACAAAACCTCTTTCCATCTACAACATTTCAATCCAAGGTCAAATGAATGGAAGCAAATACAGGTAAGCATCATCAGCGTTGCATGACTAACTGATCAAACTGAAGCACCTATTTTGCAAATGGCAGGTCATGATCTTTGCAAATATACCAAATAAGCTTATTATAGTGAAGAAATATTTTCAGCAAACTTTTGTAACGGCTGAAATGATTTTTGTTTTGGAACAAGGCCCCACACCCCAATCGAACCATTTTTCTTGCCCACATGGTAGGCTAAAATTTTGTTTACAGTTTTTGATTGATAAAGACGGGCGTGATATTTTGACATAAAATTTTGATTTTTTATGGGGTATCAGCCTCATCTCTTCTCTGAACAAGACTATAAACAAGCAGCCATTAATACGAACATTGCTGCTACTATTTTGGAATGTCGAAAATAGGCTATAATTAACGATTATCTCCCGCCATCGGTAGATAAATAGAGTTAGAGTCGTAAATAAACAAATCGGCACATTCTGATTTGAATCGAAAATAAAATATTCGAAACTGACATCCCTGGTGATAGTCATCAGGTTTGAACCATTGATCTTTAACTAACAACACGAACTTAGATCTCAGTAGAGTTTCCAGAAATCCCAAACCCCCTTTCAGGTTATTTGTCATGTATTGAGCTGAAACTCACAAAACTCTTTCCTTATATAGAAAATGAATGACAACATGAAGTCAGGAGATTTCACTGCTATTGCAATGAATCAGCATATTTATGTCTTGGTTGATAGGACCTCATTCTATCGACTCAAATATGTCGATGTTAATGCTACATGGGAGAAATTGAAGAGTCCGTTGAAAGTTCATGGCTATTACCCACCAATGACTTTGGTTGATGGTTAGTAGTAACTAATGACGTTAGGTTGAATAATTCCTCATTTCAATACATATTACGAAATACTAATGTTTTTCCAGACATTTCCAAATATTTACTACTTTTTATGTTCAGTGTATTGTTACTTTACATTTCAATTTCTTATTCAAAGCAATCGAAAATTCATAGCATTTTTAGCAAGGTTTCTTACTGAATTTATATAATTTGGTATCAATGACAAACTTAGTTTTTAAACTATTATTCATGTCTGAGATACATTTTTTGTAAAGTATCTGTAATATCAAAGGTTGGCAATATAATTGAGTGAAATTTGTTTAAACAATTTTCGGTCTTTTGACACAAATTAAAGATATAACTAAACCTATCAGCAGATTACATTTCTATTGAAAGTGAAATGACTTTCCAATTTGAATAATCAGAAAGTCTTGAATTGTAGTTGCGTGATAAACCTAACTCTTGTGCAGTAAAGGTATTTCATTGGCTTCCATTGTATACAAATAGCAATGAAAATTAATGGAGGTTTCTTTCCTATTAATCCAAGAATAAAATTCATTTCCAACATGATTAATTTTAATGTAATATGACAATGAAATTTTGGTACTCCCAAAGTATGCAAACCAAGATGGCTGAAACCGAAATGTAGTATGTGTGCCAGGATAGGGTTAGGCCATAATTTTAGGTCCAAATACTATGGGAGTCACTTGGCTAGTCTTCGACCTCGTGATAGAACTAAAATAATTTGTAATAAAATTATTGCCTTACCTTAATCTGGTAAACATACTACGTTCTGGTTTCTGCCATCTTGGTTTACATACTTCATGAGCATACTTCGAAATTATTACTACTAATGTTGGGTTGAATGCAATTATATCTGTGTTATTGTTTAACTAGCACGGGTACAATTACAAACCTGTCAGGCATCTGGATATTGTTGTAATCCCTTGTTCATAGTGACGAAATACAACATCTTGAAAAATAAATATTGTACCATTCGTCATACTAAGTTTGAACATGATGGTCATGGCTTCAAACTGAATTAACCAGGGCTTGAAACCAAGAACCCTCCTATACAAACTTGAGCGACTCATGAGGCCATCACCCCCACCTCTACAGTGAACTCGTAAAAGTCTAGATCCAGATAGACCAGATGAACTTCGACTGCTACGTTGAGTATTCGAAATTTGAATCTCACCACGATGAAAGGTTGGCAATGTCCTTATCATTATGCCAATACCACCTTAATATATTCATATTTGAAAAAAAAATCCATCCAAAAATATCCAATTTAAAGTTCTATTCACATATCAGATGAAATCTGGATTGTTGGTGGATGTGTTGGATCTGACACAACAACAGTGGAAAAGTATGATTCTCGGAGAAACCAGTGGACAAAGTTGAAAAGCAAGAATGTTAAATGTATTGCTCCTGCAGTCATCTGCATGCAAGGTATGTTTTCTTCAAATCAGGTTATTTTGTCAAATATACCTGTACATTGCCAGACAGTAAGTACAGAGTCTTTTCAAAGTTTGTTTCAGTGTTTAAAAAACATCATTTTTTAACCAGGCTGACTTTCTGTCCTTTCAATTATTCATTAAATGCATTAAAAGCATTTGCTGTCTAATAGAAGAATGCAAACATCAAAATGCGATTTTGGAATGGTTGCTTTTTTGATAAAATTAAATTTCAATGCAAGACCCTTGGAAAGATTATATATATTATAACATTTAGGATAGGATTTACATACTTATCCTGGGGGAGAGGGAGGCCGCTGATATGGCTCATTCATATGGTCAAGCATGGCCTCTTGTCCGCTCAATAGTTCATCTCGGGTTTGGCTAAACTCGATTTCTGCTTGATAGAATTTAACATTCAAAAATTTTCCCTCCACAATGTATTATATACTAGATTGTAAAAAGACTTTAATTCAGAACATGCCTATAAAGTTTGTGGGAAGTACCATGCAAAATGTATTTATAATAGGGTTATATTCAGATTTATTTTTCTAGTATTCTTTTTTATTGAGAATACCACATTGAGATAGTTATGATATATTCATACCAACGTTCTTCAGCATCGTGTCTCATTCTCACTCAGTACATGTAACAATTCCATATACAGTGATACCTCGGTAGTCTCTACTCGATTCTCGAACAAGTCGGTAGTCGACTGAAAGATTCTAGCCAAAAATACTGGTGTACTCAAACGGATATTTGGTGCTCAGGCAACTGAGCGCGTCACCAAGTGATTTCACCCAAACAGCACAGGAGCCTTTCAGACATTCAACAAGAGAGCGATACTCACATTCGTGGTCACAATGGCCAAATCAAAGTAGTACATAAATGCAACGTATCACTGCAGATTACCGGTACGGCAATCTTTACGACTAACACAAAAGTGAAGCCGGCACATGGTGGGCCATTGCACCTAAAAACCGAATCCCATACGGAAATATGCTGAAACGTAACATAATTGATACAAAATTTTGTATATTTTTATTTCACAGTTCAATAATTATTGTTGTTTTAGTACACATTTTGTCAATCATTATGGTAGTTTGGAATGCATAAGAACTAACTACAATTATTTACATTATTTTTTGTAGCAAAAATATTTCTGTATTTGAACAAATCTGTAGTCAAACATCAATCGACTGAATCTGAGGTATAACTGTATTTGATAATTACAAATAAACTTCCTAAACCTAGTATTTAGAACGACTGCTTTGTGTTATTGATTAAGCTTTTAATGTTGAACATGTGCTTGATACATTTCTTTGACCAAACTTTCAGAACATGTTTCTGGTTTTAATGGCTTTACTTTCATTCCAAATTCCAATATATTGTTCAGCTGTCATTCTGAAGCCAAAATTAATTGGTTTGAATTTGCAGGAAGCATTTATAGTTTGGGAGGATATGAAGGATCAAGTGCAACTAACAAAGCAGAATGCTTCAATCGAAATACATCAAAATGGAGTTTCATTTCACCAATGCTGAATGCCAGAAGAAAATCTGCTGCTGTTGAATTTCAGGATCGCCTTTATATTCTTGGTGAGTTGTATAAGTTCATTCAAGTCTAGATAACATAGAGTTCAAATTTTTTTCCCAACAGGCTTAGATTTCAAAAGTTCCAAAAGTTGTGTAGAGTTTAAAAATTTAACATTGCAATTTGCAACGCACATTTGATTTATCCTACCAGTGTGTGTTTTTACATTTTATACTCACTACACAGTGAGAGCCATAAGTAATGATGAAATTAAACTAGTTCTGGTGTAGCAAAATCTATTTTTATTGAAACAAGTCCAAATTACTGTAAATAAGTAAAGAATTTCCATTCCTTTCCAAACAATACTTATTAATGAGAAAAGGGGATATTTGGATACGCTTGACGAGGCAAAAGAGCAAGGGCAGTAAAAATTCTCTCAAATTTCCTCATTGAATGGCACAACATTATCTGCCTTTTGGACAGAAAGCTCATTTTCAAACATAGCATGGTCATGAAAAGATTTTGTGGTCTAAGTAGGGATGGGACAAGATTCGGATCCGGACTCGGATTCGAGTCGAATCCATGCATTTTTGCGACTCGGATTCGATTTCGAGTCCACGCCATTTTTACCGAGTCCCTATTCAATTTTGTTTTACATAATTGACGCCTCCATTATGCGATTTTACCGTTATAAAAGTCAGTATAAGCAATAGTTTTACAAAATAATGTGATTCGTCACGTGAGAGATCTCTAAAAACATACGCACATATTGTATCACAGGGGCGTATCAGACATTTCAGTCATTTCGTCGCTAGTGACCATATCCCAATAAAAACATCAAGGCTACTTTTGGTGCGCGAACCAATAAATTACTCTTCGTAAACAAAACAGATAGGAGAGCATCCCCAAGGAAAAATTTATTAACACGTTTTAATTACAGTTTATTGCATGCAATTTGCTTCTTGGAAAATAAGAAAGCAAGAAAAATTTGCTAAAAGCAACGAAATTATGTGTGCTACTTGCGAAATAACAGTTTTATAGCTAATAGCATCTGAAATCATGCAAGCGTATTGTAGTCAAAATTGAGTTTCTTTAGATTGACATGCAAGAATGTTAAAATTTCGACGTTTTTTGGTTTCAGACGGTTACGTAACGGCGACGTTACAACGCCAGCTGTGCTAAAAAGACGCTCAGAATTGACGGAAGTAGGCGGGCATGAAAGCAAGCTTACGGCTAGAGCGAACATCGCCTGGCATTCATTTCTGTATTGTGGCCAAAAAACAAGTGGAGACTTGTGCCTTTTAAGAGTAGGTGCAGCAAGATATTGCCTGACAGCAGTTACAATATCAGCATCCATATCCACCTGTTCCCTGACAAGACCCGCGTTCTCAGGTGCACCGAAGACCACACTATCTTCGGCCTCTTCTGATGATGATGATTGATATAATTCAGTCCCTTTGTAGAGTTCAACACTATCCGTGGCAAACTTCTTCACTTCAGTAACAAGCAGCCGTTCGATTTCTTGCCGATTGATAGTTGAGCACCATGACAACTTTAATCTTGGATCAAGTATTGTAGCCAATAAACAACGGTTATATGAGGCCTGGTTCTGAAAGTATGCGTCTCGGGGCTGAGGTCCATTTCCAGGAACGCTAAATCTCCGTTCTATACCACTTTTGAGGCTATTCAGGAAATTGTCGAGTCCATAAATATCGCTGTCACCAATGAATGCTTCCAATCTTTTCAACAAATTCTCTTTTACTGGTAGAATGCTTGCTATTGTCGCCTCCTCAGTACAAACTTCCTTGGTCGCTATGTCAAATAACTTCAAAACTCGAATTAAAGATGAAGCCATTCTCCACGGGTTAGGTGACAGAGTATTACCAATTCCCCTGAAGGACATATCATTAATAACTTCTCTCTGTTCCACCATTCGCTCCAGCGCGTAGTATGTAGAGTTCCATCTGGTACTCACGTCTTGTTGCAATTTATGTTCTGGTGCATTCAGCCTTTTCTGACATTCCTTGAGAGCACGAGCGTCGCGAGATGAGCGGTTATAGTGGGCAATTATAGAACGGGCATCAGCCACGATATCTTTCACATCAATGTTTGATCTGATAGCGTCGTGAACGATCAAGTTCAAAGTGTGTGCCATACATCGGATATTAAAAATCTCCCCGTCCTTTAATGCCTTTATCACATTCGAGGCATTGTCGGATGTTATTGTAGCAAACGATACGCCCCACTCACTTTCTTGTCTTCGTATTTCTGACAGCAGCAATTCTGCGGTTTGCGAGCCCACGAGCTCAGAACAGGAAAGAACGGGCGTAACACGGTGTAAATCACCCTTGTTCCAGATAAGAAAATTGGAGGTTATACTCATGAACGAATCATTTTGAAGACTTGTCCATTCATCTGTTGTAGCACATATGGGTCCAACGGCACTTTTCAACAATTCCTTGATCTTATTTGTCACTTTATCATATATTCCTGGAACAAACAACGGTGTTGGAAAAATATTTTCGAGACGGAATAGTGTATCTAGCATTCAGTTCTTTCACAAGCCGCAAAAACCCCACATTTTCCACCATCGAATACGGCATAAAATCTAGAGCAATCATCTCGCCAATTTTGGATGTTAAGCATCGAGAAACGGGGTGTGAATTGTCATACAATTTACGTTTTGACAAGGCTTCGACAATGGTGGGTTGGCGACTGCTGCATTCTGCAGCAGCAGTACTTTCGACGTTGACTCTCTTAGATCCATCTGGTTTTTCGAAAACCTGATGGCAAGTTGACAAGTGCTTAAGCATTGAACTCGTTGTATAAGAAGATTTGCATTTCCCACGACTAATTTTAGTTGCGCAAATGCCACATTCGGCCTTCGAACAGTCATCTTCACAAATTTTAAAATACTGCCACGCAAGTGACTTTGCTTTCGGTGATGACATCGCAACAGACAACCAGCAGAAGCGGAAACCTTCTTGAAGTAAAGTTGCCAAAAGCAGTCTAATTCCACCCGTAAATCTTATCAAAAACAATCAACCTTGAGTAGCTTATTATACAATCATCCAAAAGATTCACGCAATTAGTCGGTAACTGAGCTGTACGCGAAGCATGGCAAGAAAACAGTACGTCACCGATCGCGCATTGTTGCGTCACAATTGAAACCGTGTTTTTGCCGTTTTCATTGTGACGTCACGGACTCGGCGGATTCGACTCGAGTCCATGACCTATTACTCGGATTCGCCGAATCTCTGTAATGCCGGACTCGTCCCATCCCTAGGTCTAAGGCAGGGGTATCAAATCTATATTAGAGGAGGGCTAGTTACTAATAAGTGGGTAAAGCCGCGGGCCGCACATAGAAACAATACCTATAAAAGGCTCTGAGTACAAAAAATCCAACTATGAATATTCTTCTTGTAAAAATATTGGAAAGGCCGGAAACTTGAAAATATAGTGTAGTGATATTTGTTTATTTTAGCTTAATTTAATGCAATGCTTGAAGAAGGGATGTTGCATTATCGCAAACTTCGAATATCGTTTTTTGTGTTTATAAGAATACTAAATATGATGCACATATGCTAGCAATGCCGTCCATGTTTTGATTTAAAAGATTTTACAAATATTTTTCATTGTAATTCGAAGGCAGCTGTGTGCTGCACGGCGATAAATCGGTCATTCCACTGGCCCATTTGTTTACCGTGGGCATGTACAATGTGTTTCTAGCAAAATTCAGTGAAATAATGATAACAGTTAAAACAAAAGTAAAATGAAATTTAAAAAAATGGGAAATTTTGAATTTTATGTGTGTGTGCTCATTTTTGTTTATATATCAAGTTATCTCTAACCTGTCAACTTTTTCATCCTTCGAGCACGCCGTCCTCCCACTCTCCGCGGTTTTTGTTTAGTCTGGCCTAGCTGGCCAATGCCGAAGGTAAACAAATTTACACTTCATAGTTTTTATTCGATATTTCTTCATCTTTCCATGTGTACTTATATATTTATTATGCAGTAATCTAATTTCAAGATGTATTTGATACAAGTTTTAACCATTATTATAATTTATACAAATAGTTAATCCAAAATTTGTTTGGGCTTAGAACGGATTGAGTCATTTACAAGTAAAACTTCATTCAAAATTGTCACTTTTTCGCGGGCCACACTAGTTTGCTTCGCGGGTCACACTAGTTTGCTTCGCGGGCCGCAGTTGACCCACTGACCGCAGTTTGCACATCCCTGGTCTAAGGCACAAGTTTATTGATACCTTTCTATATTATGCTGTTACCTAACTTGATGACAATGAGATGATAAAAATCTGACAAAGCTTTAGATTGGTTTTCTAGGCTTTACTTCGCACTTCTCAGTTTTACTCATACCAACCACTTCACTTCATCTACTCTATCTGGCATTCGATAATTTTACTTTGTGTTAGGTTTGAGCTGCTGATTTGCGCCCGATGTTTCCAGTCACTTCTTTGCACTGGTTTTTTATTGGCCAATAACACTTTAAAAGTCTCTTCAATTTCTCAACTGCTGAAAAAATTGTTCAGTTAAAGTCTAGTGACTTTGCTTCGAGCAAACTTGCATTGTTGGGTTGGGGTAGAGAACTTAAAACGCCCTATATATTCAGATATTAGAGAAGTGTGGCATATTACACCACATCTCGGTGGTATAGAATAATAAATCATTGTACAGGGTGCCCCCAAAAAATTGAACTCATGCAATATGTTCCAAATGGACTGGGTGCCGTTTTTTGAGTCACCCTAAATATGTGTGTTACCGAACTATACCAATTACTGATTGCAATGTAATAAGTTCATGTTGCAGTGTTAATTATTGTGATAAAATCTCAAGAATTTTGTGAAAATTCGCGGCACACTTTCAAGACCTCAGCGGCACACTAGTGTGCCGTGGCACACAGTTTGGGAAACACTGCTCTAGAGTCTAGACGAAGGCATAGCAAGATTCAAACAAACCATTTGAGTAGCAAAATGCTTTACGAACGCCCCAGTTACATCTGATTTATTTTATGCTCTTTTGAATGACGTGCTAAAGGATAAAAAATTAATTACAAAGTCGAATGGTAACTTTTTTATATTTCAACAAGAATTAATGGAACCTGTATTTTAGACAACATTATAGGTTCAATTTATGATAACAATTGAATAAATATAAGTTAATGCTTTATGACTCTTCTTGCTAATATATGAATCGAAAAACAATAAATTGGTATATTTTTGCCAAAATCAAAATTGCTTGTTTTGTCGGATAATTTTATTAAAGCAGGTGAAGATTATTAATCTTATATCTGGTATTTTAGATCTACTAGCTCAGTGCCGGTATTCATACAGAACTATATTCACACAAAAATATTCATCCAACTCCCCAGTCACATATGGACTAAGCTTATATCTAAACCTATGATTTATGAGATATATCTTCTGAGTACATGCAAAAGCTAATATTTTGGATGTTTGGCTTACAAATGAATGACTTAGCTTTGTGCTGATATTGACACACTTTTACTCTTTGTATACAAGGTGGATATGATATGGGTCAGGATCTGAAAACTGTTGAAACATACGATCCATCATCCGATTCCTGGACCATGTTTGCACCGATGATATCGACTCGTCGCCTCCTCAATAGCTTTGTTTTCAACGGGAACATTTATGCAGTTGGTGGATATGGGTATGTATAGTTATATCATTATTATATCACATTGCATTCAGTTGCGAAAATACTAAATTCTCATCGTAATTACGTGATATAGGTTATAATAAGGTTACATACAGTGACTCTGATGAATATTTCACTATTTTTTTAATAATGTATGACTGGCTTCGACTTGTTTGAAATTTAATTTATAACTCCCATCTACATATGCGTGGCCAGGACTTCGAAAAGAGGGATCTTGTCACAAAAGTTCCCTCATAGTGGCTTTTAAAATAATCACCCGATTACTAAACTCTAAATAAGTTCTCATTTGAAGATAATTTATAAAGCGCTCTATATTTGAATAGGCTTTCATGCCGAATTTATCTTCTTGGCTGGTTTAATTATATTAGGAAATCGACGACCAGTGCTATCAAGTAGGACCCTACCATGACCCTACCATTCATAAATCATGACTTCCTCTGCTGTTTGATCTAATCCAACATAGAACTCCAGTAACTCAGACTTTGCCTGATAACCCACTCAAGCAGATTCCAAAGCACCGGTTCGAACTAACGTTGGTCAAGCAGTCAACACTTAAATTCATGATTTATCCGGAATGCTTTATACACCCTGTTTTCAGAATTTGTCAAATCCTGTGTCCCACCTCAAAAATAACAGATAATAAGGCAAAAAAAATTTTTTTTCTAAAAATCATGTTAAAATTATTTGGAGGGAATATAAATATCAATAGAAGGAGATCAAGTCTAACAAATAGTCTCATTTTTATTTAGTTTCATACCCCCTCTACGCGATTGTGGGGCACCACCCACCATTTGAGAACCACATATGGATTTGGCAATGGCAAACTAAATAGACTTGATCATTAAAAAATTGGTCTTTGTCACGAGTCTTCAAAAATGTTGAAGCCTGTAGTTATTTATAGTATTGTAGATTATGTTTGTTCTTATCTCTCTTTTAGTTCAAGAAAAACCATGGAGAAATATGATTCCGAAGAGAAAACCTGGGTGATGGTTGACATTCCTAAAGATATGAACCTTGATATAATGGGGTCAGTGAATATAAAAGCCATTTGAATATTCGTACCAATCATATTGACTTCCAAACGTTCCACAGCTCCTAATTCTTCATTTCAATCACAATCATTTTTATATTTTGTATTTTGCTGGTCATTCAAATATACTTTCTGTTGAAATTATAATTTCAACTCAGTCCTTGAATATCGCAAAAAATATTAAATTACTATTTATGCAAAGTGAGGGAAGCAAAAAGAGTCCCAAAATAAGAAAAGGAAGGAATTTAACAAAAAAAAAGGATTAGGAACCACTGCACTAGGCCAAGGACTCCTTGGTTTGCAATATATTACACTTGGGCTCTATTTTTAATTACTGGGATGGATATAAAAATCCAATTTTACATTCCCTGATTTTTTTTAATAATTCCTGATATAATGAAACCCATTAATTCAATTTGCGAAAATAGGTTTTTTATTCTCTGATTTTTGTGTTCACCTTTTGTTAGATTTTCTGTGTATATTCTGTTCAATTCTACAATAACAACCAATCTTATTCGTGGGAGTCCCCCATACTTGTATAGAAAAAAATTTGGAAAAGGATTTCTAGTTCGACATAGTCTGAATTAACTTCGAGTTAAATTAAATGGGTTAGTTTGTAAAAATTGTCATATATTATTGTTCTTGTTGCGATATCATTCATTCTAAGGTTATAATACGCCAGTAATATAAGATTTCAACATCAGTACCATATCATCTGAATTACTTTCCATGAATGCAAGTATTCCTTTTACCTATAATGAAGTTATAGATACTACACCTAAATTTATGTTCATCTCCGAAATAGTTTGTCTTAATTGAAATTGAATGGTTTCATTCTCAAATATGCATTTTCTGTTGTCGAAAGAAATCAGTTATATGTTAAAGTTGAATAGATTTTCTAAGACAATTCTCGTATAGACAGTGAATTATGAATTAAATTAATTTTTTTATTCAAAATCCGTATTTAAATTTTCATCGATGCCGTATCAGTGAAATACACATGTTCCATCTGCTACTATTCTAATCTGAATACCAAGATTTGTATGCAATAATGCTAAACAGTTCGATATTAACATGTTTGATATTTTAATGACACATTGAATTTTCATCTTTTAGTGGGCATATTCGATAAAAAAACACACACACATTAATTCAGATGAACCTCACTCAACATCGTGATGGGCGCGACTGTCCAGTCGTAGGTTGCTGTTTGTTAATGCAGGCCACAATTATAATTAATTACGATGTTTGGCTACTGACGGCATTGTTACTCACTCTTAATGATCAAATTTAGCGTGAGGCAGCAGTTCGTGTGGCGCAAATTTATCAGGAAAAACTCACGGCGCACCTAATCTAAATAAAACACAATTTTGTGATCGTTAATGTGTTGTTTATGCCTTTTAAAGTTTATAAAAATGTAGGTATAAAAGATAAAGGTAAAAGGTTAACTCCTCTTCCTTATCACTGCCTGGTTTTCCTTTAAAATGGTAAACTAAATCACACATGTTAGCTGAACTCGGTTAAGCAAATGAATAAACTGCAGCATACAAAATCGAGTGCAGTTTTAAGTATTTCGCGGCATCTGAAGCTGCCGCAAAACCATGGCGGGATTTCCAAACCATGGCCACAATGACCAAACCACGGCGGCTGACTTTCCAGCTGCCACAAACAATGGGGTGAGGCGGGATACCACGGCAGCAAATTGAAAAACATGGCAGGTGAAATTATACTGCCATGAACCGTAGTTACGCGAAAGATTTCTCGCCATGAACAGTGGAAGATAGCGGGGAACCTTGTGGTTGATTGCGTATTACCACGTCGTGATAACGGGGAGCGCGGCGACAAGTTGGTTGCTGTCATCAACTGAAGAAGCGAGATTAGCATTCGGTTTTGTTTGTTGTTTTGTTTGCATTCAAAAGTAATAAGAAAATGATTTGACGTTACAAATGAATTCAGCCTTGGGTGTATATTGCTTCGAAGTAGGGTGCAGTTGGAAGCAGAGTTGGATCATTCGTAATTGATGTTATTATTTACAGTTTTTTATGTAATTGTAATGTAATGACTGAATGGAGGCATTTTCATTCTGTGTAATCGTAACTGTAATTTGCTAAAATTCTGGCTCAATTACACTTTCAATTAGACTAAATCTTAGTATTTTGAAAATGGATGAACATCAAACAAACTCTTCCGGAACATGTGTTGAACCACTTCATGCACCATTGTCAGAGTTTTTCAAACTGAGGCAGGCTGTAACAACTTCAAAAAAGGCTTGGTCAAACGCACTTGAAAAGATGTTCTCCCCATCTATATATATAAATAGAGAAAGGACCAAGGAAATCAGAAAGTGGAGTAGATAGCTATTTGGGGGAAGAAATTTTGCAATTTTATGAAGACCAATTAATGTATTGGAAGAAGAAATCAGAAAAATTTCCCACGCTTGCTTCTTTAGCCAAAGCTTATTTGGGAATAACAGCAACATCAGCCCCGTCAGAAAGAGTTTTTTCAATTGCGGGTAACTTTTATACGGCATGAAGAAATTTATTCGGTTCAGAAACTTTTCGCAGCCTAATCTTCATCAAGTGCAATCCAACAGTTCTTGATCAAGGAAAAATGTAAATACGAACCAAAATGTTATAATTGTGCAATTTGATATTTTTTGCACGGAGTAATTGTAATGTAATTGAAACATTTAAGGGAGTAATTGTATTTGTAATTAAACTGAATTAGTGCAATTGATCCAACTCTGGTTGGAAGTAGGGTGCCATTACTTCCTCTGGTAATAAATAATGTTGTATATCATTTGCGCTGTTTCGTTTTTAGTCATATTGATTCAAATTAGATCGCAGTACTACCAGAGTAAAATTGTGTCGTTTGGGCTTCATTAAAATTGCATTTACTCTGCAAGGCGATTCATCTACAGTAGTGGTTCTCAACCTTCTACTTACTGCGTACCGGTACCACTTGAATGTTTTTTCTTTCCATTTACCCCGAAAAAGCCACTCTTTGTGAGAAAACGGGCTATGGAGGTATTTTATAATGTGGCACTACATCGATTTTTTCAGGGACAAATTATAACCAGTGGCATTTATTATATGCAGTAACAACATATTATTTGCTCTCTTCGTTTCTGATTTCCCAATACAGACAGACAACTTTTAACGAAAACATGCCAGTCTCTCTCGTTTTAGGAGTGTAGTGGCGGGTGAGGGCAATCCGCGAAAACAAGGAATGGATTGCATGCAATATAAAAGAGAGAGAGTGTTGCCACCATAAATTACCCAACATAAGGGTTTGTTGTTGCAATGATTTAAAGCTGCTTGCGTACCACAAAGCCACTTAGATATGTCACTATTTGTTAAGACAATTCTCGAATATTTCTATAATATTTACAGGCAGATGAGGAACCTCAATTAGCGAACATCAAATTCCAAAAAAAAAGATGACAATGTGCATGTTATTAAATTTTATTAAAGAAAATTACACAAAAACTCAAGTTTTATGTGCAGTGGTCACAGAAAAACTCTCCGTTACCCGCAAAATCTGTGCAGTATTGGTGGTACCATCTTTCGCATCCATCACATTCGACCTACAACAAAATTATTACTTTACTCCAAATCCATCAAAACTGCATCCATGTTTGACCTTACCCAAATTTTGCCACCATCAGGGGCAGTCCTGCCATTACAGCCTACACAAAAATGTGCCAGCTCATCAACATCTAAAAGATGAAGAAAAACAAATGTAGGATTGCAAATACCTAACTAATATAGTCATGAATATTCCTCCTCAGATTCTAACCAACCGGAAAAATGAGTAAAATTTCTTTGCATACACGATGAATATTGACCTCAATCCGATACTTGACTTCCTTTTCCATTCCAAAGGAAATTTTTCAATATCATCAAATTAAAGCCCTGGGCTCTTGAGTTTTAACCTACTTAGCCATGTTCAAAAGAAAGTTCTAAATATCATCAAAATATAGCTGTGTGTTACCAACATATCCGTGACCGCATAGATGTTATGATACTAGTTGTTACTTGACTTCCAGCACTGCTCTCCACGCTTGAATAAAAATGACTTATGCTTATCCTTGTGAATAAAAAAATAATGCACCTGTGGCTTCCAACAGAAGGTCTCCAAAATGGATTCTGTAAATTTACAGATCTGTCGAATGATTAAAATCTGTTGTACATCCTGTTAAGATTGCTTCGGCAGCCTAGAATGTAAAAGAATAAAACAACTCATATTTCTATAGATTTTCACCTATGAGATGATTTAAAAATAAGGTTCAAGTTGAATGGTGTTGGTATCAATATATAGTACTCAGTGGCGTAGCAAGACTCTCGTGGGCCCCCCCGCAAAAATATTTCGTAGAAATGACCCTAAAAACTCTCGGACATAAGCTAAAACAAAGTTTTTTTTATTTCGTCAACAAGCATAACATGTCGCTTTAAAAAAGCAATGGTAACCTAAAATGTGCGCTTTCGTGTTAGCAAACTCATCCACCATCTTCGTCATATCAATTTGCTCCAAAAATCAGTAGCTTACCTGTGATAATTGTCGCGTAAGTACTGGAAGAAAATTCATTTGCGCCGGCGCCATCACTTTTGGAGATTGAACGCATCTGGTTTTCTACCGATACCACCGATGCTAGGCTTATTTCCTCCTCAGTTACGTTCGGTATTCCCAAGTCTAATTGTTTCAATTTTGGTTTAAATATTTCGTTTATCTTGGTTACTTTTATTTTTTTGATATCAATGCGATCAAACCACACGACACCGAAAATCGACAACTGCAGGCATTGTTACATAACAAAACGATTTGAGCAGAACTGACATCAACATTATAAGATGTGCATTACTGCTTTTGCAATGCAGCTTTTGGTTTTCTTAAATTTCTAAATTTTAACCGCTTGGGGCCCCTTTTCGCTGTGGCCCCACCCGCGACCGCGGGGGTTGCGGGGGTGGATGCTACGCCACTGATAGTACTACTAGTAAATGTTTACTCACAAATATAAATGAAAATTTAAAGATCTATTGTAAGGAGCCTGTGTGCATCCTTATCAGTTTAATAATACCAATATAAAAACAAATTGGACCCAATGTACCTTCACAACCAAAATTAAACCCATCTTCTTGTTCACTATGCTTGTTTGTTAACAGTCTCCAATATCTTTTGTCACCTTCATGATATCTCCAAAATTTCCTGGAAGAAAACGTAAAAAAAAAACAGCCATGATTAGTCCCACAACACATAGGAACAATTTCATTTCTAGATCCTTAACTTTTTTCAAAGTGTTCTAAGAACTGCATATTCTTGCTAATATGAGCTTTCATACCTAGCTTGCAATCTCAGTGCAAAAAACTCGTACGATCCATACAGTTTCGGTGATCTGTTTTTGATATTTTAAAATTCGGATAACACTAGTATAGATTTGAATGCATGACTAAAACATTGATGTTCTATCGTTGAACTCAATAAAGACATGATAATTTAAAATGAATCTGTGAGTGTCTACAAGCCAATAGTCATTTAGTCAAGCAGAAAAACACAAACCTCCAATTCTCCATCAGCGTTTCAGCATAAGTCTCTTCATGGCCAACAGGATAAATAGTGACACTCCCTTGAGATGGATCTGTAATCTGAAAACATGAAACTTTGTTCACAAGAGTAGAAGAATTTCTGGTTTGAAGAGCAATACAATACAGAATATGCCATATTTGTTTTGACGTGATATATTAAAACATTTTGTAATTTCATTTGAAAAGAAAATTTTCCAAAAAAAATTTCATTTAAATTAACAGAGATCTAGCAATTTACCTACCATTAGAGTCCAGTGACTGCCATGGTACACAATTTCCAACTATCTTGAGTTTTTTTATACATGTCATAGCATCAAATTAATTTTCTGCCTATTCACATTAAATGGTCATGCTTTCCTCAAAATAATCGACAATGTACATCGCAACATGAGTTAAATAGTAATATGATGCATCAATCATTAACAATATCTTTCCATAAGCAAACTATCAATACATCCTCGATTGAAGCATTTGTGTAATAATGGGCAATCACTGAATAGAATGAAAAATGTCAAATACGATATGCCACAATTGGTATCTGAGCTGGAGAAATTTCCCATCTAACAAACAAACAAACCCTCTGGACAAAAAATTGGTTTGTTGAAAGATATTCCTCAAAAACCTCAGTTATCAGTTTTGTGAATATTGTGCATTGATTTAGGTCAGTGTACAACAGTATATACAACAGTGTTTTTATGTTCAAATCAGAGCAGTACTTCAAGTTGCGAAAAGAATTTCCTGCGGTCTTT